AATATCCTTTGTAAAGTATCAGATACCTGAAACCAGAAAGGGGGGAAATGTCATCTTGTGTACGTTTAGTATGTGTGTATCATCATGACAGTGTAAAATGTATCAACATCAGCCTGTAGATAAGTTTACTGGCTGCACAACCCTTGTCTCTTTCACACCCACTACTTCCATCCACATTGTTGCTAGTACAGTTTGGGAATTATGTTTCATAGACTGGACCATTTAGTCAAGTCACTTGAAGGAATTTCAGGTTTTAAATTACAATTCTTTTCATCCTTGCCCATTAACAGGCTGGGTGAGGTAGAGAAATGTTGGATGCCAATTATCTTTGGATTTTTCTCGTTCGTGATTTCCTTTTATGGAACAAGGAAGGAGACTGTGCCTATGAGAGAAAATTAAACAGTGGCATCATGAAAGTAAATAGTACAGAAAGTAAATACTATCTGTTCTTCAGAAAGTAAGTGGGCAAAGGGGAGGATTATTGTCATACCCAGGATTCTGGTTTGTGTGTCCATATGCCTGTATTCAAGAAAGCGAACATATGTGTAAGGCTGTTTTCTATTTATGAATGCAAACTTACTTTCTTTGTTTCTGATTTATTTATTTGCTTATTTATTCTTCCTTCCTTCCTCCCTTTCTTTTCCTTTCTTTCATCAAGAATTGAATTATAAAGCTTTTTATTCTAGTCAGCCAGTTTCAAAATTGTAAGAAATGAGATGAAGATTTAACCCAATTCTTCCATTCAACTCTCCCATGGACACAACAATAACCCCTCCAAAATTCTTACTAGCTCCAAGTGGGAAGTTTCTATTCATTGGTCTCTCTGCAAGGAATAGCACTAATTCTGAATTTTGACTGGCACTTAAAACGGAGCACAGATTCCTAAGTATCATATACAGATTTAGTTACATGTTGTTTGGTGCTGCACATCTTTAAAATGCCATGATATTGTCAGCTTATAAAATGGCAGCAATACTGTACAGAGATTGCCTTCCTTGGCTTGAATGGCTTCCAAGCCCAAAATGTACAGTATAGTAATTTTCAGAATTCCACATGATCTTTATTCTAGTAATGCTTATTTAGATGTTTCTAGATTAAAGGACTTCCAAAAATTTTGCATTTTCATGATGTCGAGGTTAATAAAATTATTACAGGAAGTCAAACAAGATTGAAATTGTTGAGCAGCTTCAGAGCTTCAGAGTTTTGTAACAGTAGTCTAAAAAACAGATTTCCTGATGCTTCACCAGCAAATGTGTCTGCAATCTACAGAGGCAAGATAGTGTGCACAGCAGGCTACAAGTAACTGATCAGGGACTTACTGAGTTCCTGCTCATCACAGTTGCCTCTATGGTCTTGAAGCCCAAAACTGCCCAACAGCTACCAGCTGCAAATGTCTCTACCAGTGTAAGTTTGAATCCTTAACTGAGAAGCACTTGACTTTAGTGAACTGTACAATATATGTTCTACAAGACTCAGCAGATAACAGTGGCCAGACTGATCTGGATTAAGCTTGAAAGATAAGAAGGGTTGGGCTTGGTTAATTTTGGAATGAAATAAATACCAGGACCATGGACTAAGTTGAGAAGTTGAAATACACCCCACAATAAGGAATCATTTCTGAACTGTATGTCAGCTTGGAAGCCATTTTTCTTTGAGGCTTCTGGGCTTGCCACATTCAGTGCCTGGGAATTTGAGAGGGGGACTTCAAGGAGTGGTAGAAGATTAGCCACAACAACGTTCCTTTCTCAGAAAGTCATGGACATGTTACCCTGAACCTGGAGAGGAGTGACTGGGGATAGTCTCCAGTTGGAAGGAAGTAACGATTGGACCATGTGATAGACGATTGGGCGCAGGGGTTGGATTTTGGGTTTTCTTTGGGCTAGGGAAAACCCAGAATTTTCAGATTCGGTTTTTCCTCAAACGTGCCAATATGACATCTCTAATAAAATGGATTTTTGGGAAGACGATATTTTCTTTGGAGGTTGTTACTTGGAATGCTGACACTGTATTGTTGCCAAGAAAATTCCATGGACAAATCAGGAAGCATCCAGGAGTTGGGCCTGAAGGAGACGTTTCCTTTGTCCAAGTTGTGTAAAAGCTTCATATTTGTACTTTGGTTCCCTTCTCCCTCCTTCCCTACCCAAAGACTTACGTAATCTCAGTTTTCTTCAGATACAGAAAATACATTATTGTTGATGTTGACCTAAAAAAGAAAGATGGGGAGCGGAGAGGAGAACACATAGGAGGAAGAAATATTTCCTGCTGCAGCAGCTTTATGTGTAATCTGCTTCCTCAGTCCCCCAGCATGTAATGAAATAATGGAATACCTTACGAGGAAAAAAAACTGTTTTGAAAAAGAAAAGTAGCTGTGGCTGGAGAATGAGCTCTACGCATGTTGGGCTTCAGAGAAGCATTATGTCATTCTCATTTGCACTATTATGGGATGATCTCATGGAGGAGGGGTTGCTGCAATTTACAGCTCTGCTATTTCAGCCCATGTGATGATCAGTGTTCACTGTGCTCACCAGCAGAATAGAATGAAAGGGGAAAAGAAGAAGAAATGGCATTGTAAATTATTGAAAATCCCGAGAGATTTTAAAGAACAAATGCTGGAACGGACAGATTGACAGTAATAGGACCACGATTCAGTTACTCCTTTTTCTGTTCCTCCAGATAGACAGATTTTATCTCAGAGAACAATCACTCAGGTTGATTTTTATTTTATTTTGCAGTCCTTATCAACTTTTCCCTTGCCACCTCTCCCTACCATTCTATGATCCCCATTTAAAGATTCCTTTTTTTAAAAAAAAAAGAGGAAAAACATGTATATTAAACCTAGTATATAACTTGAAAACTATGGCCATTAACCAGTGCATCTGTGCCATTAACCAGTGCATCTGTGCCGTGATGCATGTTGTAATTGATCATTCTCAAATTGCTTACTGTTAAGTTATTTACTGTTAGGGTACAATCTGTGAAAAACAATTTGTACTTTTTAAAAAAACTTCCACAATAATTGAAAAATGGAAGTTGAAACAGAAGTCGGAAGATAAAAATGAAGATTGCTGAGGATTAGAAGTAAAAACTGACAAACCTGTATCTTTATGCAAGAGTATATAGAATGAGAATCAAAACCAATCAAATAGGTCATCCATAAATCGGGGATAAATCAACTTTTTCCAGACAGTAATCCAGCCTCCACCATCTCTTCTCCCCCCCACTCTTCCTTGGGAGCTTATATTAAAATAACACCGGTGGGGAAGAAATTTTAACTTTTCTTCCTTTTATTTAAATTATACAGTTAAATATAGCTTTACAGGATTTTTGTTTCAAAACCTCTGCATTTGCATATCCATTTAACAGATTTTTAAAAGGACTTTAGCAGATCCATATTACCTCTGCTATTCCCACAGAATCCCTATACTTCTCTCAAAGGCAGTCCTATGCATGAGTCTTTGTGCAAAATAAAATGATGAGGCTATCAGTTGCAATACCACCTGGTTGAATTATAAACATAGTGGATTTTACTGTATTTATTAATGTGAAAACCAGCATACCAGTGCTATAGATAGTGTACTTCAAATGAGGCACAGTTTTTGCCTTAATTTCATGAGCAATTCATATAAAATGTGTTTTTGTAAAAAAATAAAAATAAAATCTATGACATATTGCAACGCTTTAGCAAAGAACAGAAAACACAACCAAATGTATAACCTTTTGCCTCTCCTGTCCACTGTTTAGTTTCAGGAACTGTTTATTCCTCTGTATGGCTATAAACTAAAATACAACTACTGTAATCCACATAATCCACAGTTCTGCTGCCTACAATAGTAGAAATTGTTGCCAAATATATGTTACAGTTTGAGGCTGAGAATCTTTGGAGGCATTGCTAAGCTGCCTTGTTTGGACTGCCATGTTTTGGCATGACTACCTGGTAAACTTACCTGTCTTAATCTTTATCTAGATGGTTTTGAAGCACATGCTGAAAATCAGTACAGTGAACAAATACTATCCATTGATACTGGGCCAACTTGTTCTTTTGCTTGAAGCTTTTAAAGAGCAGCTAGACATCCCATGCCCCATTTCAGAGATATTTATCTAAACAGAGAAATAGAATGATCAATGGTGGGCAGAAAATAGTGGGAGCAGAAGTGACCGAGTTCCTGCTAGCTTCTTCATTGAGTTTGCTTGTGAGAATCTGACAGGAAACATTGGAAATTCCCTTCCCTCCCTTCCTTTCCCTTCCCCAGGAAGCAGGTAAGTGACTGCTGCTGGAAGGGGGAAGGAGTGAGAGATTGCAAGAATGGAGGGGAAATTGTCCCAGAACACTAAAAATTAAGATCTTGTAACTACAGCAGTATAGAGATAGCCAGTAACACTGAAGCAGCCATAACTTTCCCAGAGTTCCCTTGGCAGTTGTGATTTCAGAGTTTGGACACATTCTGTAAGTTAGTCCATTTGAAGTAGTTCAGAAACGTTGCCCTATGAGGCACTGTTTCACCCAGTTAAAGGTCATAACAGTGAGAATTTTAGTACATTTATTCCTCGATTTACAGCAGTTTGTTTGTAACTCTGTTCAGAGTTACAGTAGCAGTGAAAAACATGACTTATGACCATGGCAGCATGCCCCTGGTCATGAGATCAAAAATCATGCTTGTCAACTGATTCATATTTATGACGATTGCACAGTCTTAGAGTAATGTTTTCACCTTTTGCATCCTTCTGACAAGGAAAATCAATGAGAAAGCCAAATTCACTTAACTACCGTGTTATTAATTTAACAACTGCAGTGATTTGCTTAACAAATGTGGCAAGAAAGGTCGTAAAATGGGGCAAAACTCACTTAACACATGTTTCATTTAGTAATAGAAAGTTTGGGCTCAATTGTGGTTGTAAGTCGAGGACTGTCTGTAATATATAGATTAGATTTGGAATATTAATGGCACATTGCTTCCTAACCCTTTTTCATTTGTTCCTGGTTTCTAATCATTTTCTTTCAGAAAATCTTCCGAAGAAGTGGACATGGATAAAGTCACGGCAGCTATGGTTCTAACTACTTTGTCCACCAGCCCTTTGGTTCGCAGCCCCCCAATCCGTCCTAATGGTGAGCATGTTTTCAGAAGAGATTTTGAAACAAGTGTTTGGGGAAAAGATATACCTACCTTTCTGCCTGCAGTAGGAAGACCATCCACCAATCATTCTCCCTAATGTGGGATGGGGTGGAGTTAGTGATTATAAGCAGATGTTTATACTAGAGCAGGGGTGTCAAACTCAAGGCCCACAGGTTGGATCCAGCCCATGGGATGCTTAAATCTGGCCCATGGGGCCAGCCTGGAAATAGCAAAGGACTGGCCCGCGGTGCCCATTTTCAGCCTGGACAGCTTCCCGCAATACTCTGCCAGCCAAAATGGGGTGCAGGGGACCACATGCGCCCCCTGTGGTCCTGTTTTGGCCAGCAAAGTGCTGCAGGGGACATCCGTCCTATTTCTCCCCCCACCCCCCAGCCAGCCCACGGAGGAGAACTACAATGCTGATTTGGCCCTGGAAGAAATCCAGTTTGATACCCCTGCACTAGAGGATTTATCCACTTGTTTAATTGTCCAACTAAAAGAATGAAGAAATGGAAGGTTTCATAATGTGAAGCAGAAGTCAGTGCCTTCCTGTAATAGTTCTTCTACTCAGCATAACCCCTTCGTGCTAATGACTTGTCAATTAGGTTATTTCTGACCATAGGTCTATGGCGTTACTTCATATGATAGAGCATGTTTTGAGATGTAGACTGGTTGACAGATTACAGGCACTGATTAAATAGGAGACAACAAAAACAAATGCTCATGGATTGCTTCTGCAAGACAGTGACAGTGCTGGCAAGGAGTGACCAGGAAGTCTAGCTCTGACCTTCATAGCTCCCAGGGGCCAAGAGGAGTGAGAGGCTATCATTAACCCACACACAAAAACTGTAGTCACTACTTAGCATCTAGTGTTGCCAAAGCTACAATTGAATAGGCGAAGCGTTTTTTTTCCTCCCCCAAAGTAATAAACTCCTCATCAAGCAGAAGTGAACCTATAATGCTGTCAATAGAGACATGCATATCAACACACATCTGTTATAACTTGGTTGCTTTCTGGTTTGAATTGAAATTTTGTGCTGTTTAGAACTGGTGTTTACTTTCAAAAGAACACTGAACCCATGTTTGGAAGACACGTCAGAAGATCTGCTCTTTGTAAGCAGCCTGCACAAGACCCAAGAAGTGCTTTACAAAAGACCATCAGGCATTGTATGAACAGATACTTCTATGGAAGCTGAACATTGATCTTTCTTACAGCCAAAGCCAAAAGGGCTGTGAAAGGCAGCTTCCAGCAACTGGGAGGAAGTAAGGATCGTAGCATTTAGAAATAGATGCCTGAACAGAATTAAGTGTCTAAAATGAGTGAAGTTTTAGTCCTAATGCAGAAAATTGAGGAGATATTCCTGAATGGGCTGCCATAGATGCATCGTTTGAAATAAGATTTCAGTTAGATTCAGCCAGATGCTTTTTGTGAAATTGTATTTCAGAGAAGCACAATAGCAGCAATTTGATGTATGGCCATTTCTTCCCATAACAGTTATGTTACAGAGGAACCCATGATACTTTTCCAAAATTCTGGACAAGTTCACCCACTCAAAGAGGAAGAAAAACTTTGGCCTAGTCAGTTGTCCAGATGCTTCTCCAATAGATAGATTGTCTAGAAAGCATTGGGTTCCTGGCTGTAGCCTTCTTTGAGCATGGCATGGTAGAAAAATATGAGTAAATCTTTCTTCGTTTATATCAAGTATAATTTATTTATGCAGTTTGGAAGCCCCAGTAAATATAGAACCATGTATATTCCTGGAAAATCTGTATGCTTTGTGTGTGTGCGTGTGTGTCTGTGTGTGTGTGTGCATGTGTGTGCGATATGTGCTTCTTATAACTTAGTAGACAATACTTTTCTTTTCAATTCATTGTGTATAATCTAGATGTCTCAGCACTCTTCATAAATACATGTTTTTAGTTCTATTACACTAATTATCTTACTAAAAATAGTTTATTTATTTGCAGTATTTATTAAATTAATTTGCCTCCCATTTTGTTTTGAAGCGACTCAGGGCAACTTACAGCATTATAAACACATTAATATCCAATGTTGTAGTTATGTTTTTCAATGCTGTTGTTAATTTATAGAATCCTTAAATGGATCCTGGAAAGAAGGAGGATTTGTGCCTTCCAGTACCAGTAGCAGTGGGTATTGGAGCTGGAGTGCTCCAAGTGACCAATCAAACCCATCCACTCCATCACCTCCCCTTTCTGCTGACAGCTTCAAACCATTTCGATTACCATCTCAAACTGATGATGGCATTGACGAGGCTGAAACTAGCAGTCTTCTTTTTGATGAACCCATTCCTAGGAAAAGGAAGGTAAGCCTGATATTAAATGTGTCAATATTCTCTTATAATGTTATACCTGTGTTTCTCAACCTTGGCAGCTTTAAGATGGGTGGACTTCAGTTCCCAGAATTCTCTAGCCAGCAAGTATATTGTGATATTATTTGAACAAATACCTGTGTTTACTTATGAAAGACACCATCATATATCATTTTTATCTAAAGCCAGATGTTTATTTGTTTCACTTTGCCTCTTCATTTTTAAAAATATATGCCAATTGTTTTAATCCTCTTAAAAGAAATCTTTGTCTGAAAAGCCCTGAAGTTGTTGCAAATAAATTGCTAGTAGATGAAATATTAGGAAATTCCTGTGTGAGTTACTGTGTTGTACTAAAGTCAGCTACTACTTGTCATTCTAATATGAAAACAGAGTGAACTCATTTCAGTGTTCCAAATTAGCTTTGCAAGATTATTGATCAAAAGATCAATATTGTATAGTTCTGTTTATGAATGGTGAACTTAAATTGCACTCAGGTGCATGTTTCTCAAAAGTAAATCTCCCTAGGTTTAATAGGCCTATCTCCTTAAATGTATGTGTACTTGAAACATTAATTTTAATTTACTTTAGTATTAATATAAGTAGAATAATTTGAAATCCATGCTTGTTAAATGAATGTACTGTGTACAGATTGTGCTCCCTGTTTAACTTCTCAGAACTCCATGAAAGTAATGTTTAAATGCCTTTGGAAAAACTGTGGAAAGGTACTAAGCACTGCTGTTGGCATTCAGAAACACATCCGGACTATTCATCTTGGGTAAGAAGACTATTAGCTATTTTTATTTGTGAAACAACTTTTATCCCAATATTAGCATTACTTTAAAGCGAGTTCACTAAGATTTATAAGCATTTACTAAGATTTATAAGATTTATTTATAAGATTTATAAGCAAATGAGCATGTTTATAATCTAGCTATTACAGCTAGTAATTCTTTTATTTCTTTTTCAATATCAATACAGGGATTTCAGATAAAACACTGAAATCTTTTTTATCAGTCCTTTGAGCTAGGAGAATGAATAAGGAAGAATTCAGTTTCATATAAGCAGTGTGTTTGTTTTTTATGTATGAATTTGTTTCCATTAATGAGTAGTCATACCATCCAATGACAAATCTTAGGTTATTTTCTTGATTTGCTAAAGAAAGTAGAATTTATTTTAAGCCACAGTTTCCAATGAATGCATAAGAATCAAAACAACATTTTTCCTAACATGAAACAGAGCGTTGATTTCTTTTTCCTTTTTGGCCACTCCAAAGAAGGAAAGGTCAAAAAAATAAAAAACAGACACACATTTCTTTGTGTGCCACTGAACTAAGCTTAATTTATTAAACTACTGAATCAATAACACAAATTTGATAAAATCAGAAGTTTTAGGAACATTTGGAAAAAAGAAGCATCGTTTCTCTGAAAAAGGGTTCCTGTTATTTGTGGAAATAACATCTGGAGAAGTATGACTTACAGCTGCAGCAAGCTGCTGCAGATGTTTAGTTAATGTGTTTCCCTTATCTTTCCTCTTTCTGTATGGCCATGATAAACTTAGATAATTTTGCTTCAGTTTTACATTCACAGCAGTTTGTTTCAGTTAGACCCAGTCAATTGTGGTAAATCCTAATTATAGTTTGTTTAAGCCAATTTCAGTCCTTGAGATGAAGTCAAATTACTTCAGTGAAATATACATTTTGGATACAATTCTGAAAAATGGACAATATTCCTTTTTGAAAAATAGAACAAAACCTTCCATTTTCTTCTCTATAGCAACATCAATAGAAAAGCAAGGACTAACATGAATCCAAAGAATTTTCAGTATTTAAAAACTGTCCTGTCAATCACAATAGAAATAATTAAAAATGAAATTCACTGAACTGTACTGTCATTTCTCATGATATCTTTTTCCCATTAATTCAAATCTGTATTTAATAACTTTATTTTAATAAAATAGTGAGTGGGTGGGAAAAGTGAATTGAATCTCATTTATTGCATAATCTAGGTATAATTATATGCTTTTTCTTTCTCCCAATTTTTTTCCTTTGCCTTATCAAGTTGTTGTGAGAATAAAGGGAAAGAACATGCTGAAGGTTTTGAAGGAAATGTCAGATACAAATATGACAAATAAATGAATTAAAGTCTCTGTCTACTTTAAATAATCTGTGTTTCCACCAGCCTAATTTATAAAGTGTGAAAAATTAAATTGTCTTTTTTATTTCAACAATTTTGAAGATATATTCTGTGCACATGAAATATAAGAACATTAACAGTGGTTCTCTTCTGAAGAGATAAAGTCTTTTCTATGTAACTGTGTATATATATCCTTCCAGAGTCCTATGTATAGAAATGCTAGTGCAAATATTTCCCTAATGTGCAGACGAATATATTAATTGAAATATGTATTATTAGTTTTAGTGGTAAAAATATTGAACAATTCAGGGTTTCTTTGTTTTTGCATAGGCTCATATTAATATATTGGAACTTCTTATTGTACTGAATTTGGTACAGTATTAATAATTTCTGACTGTCATTTCTTTAGACGTGTAGGAGAATCTGACTACAGTGACGGAGAGGAAGATTTTTACTACACAGAGATACGTCTCAACACTGACTCAGTAGCGGATGGATTAAATAGTTTATCTCCAGTTTCACCCTCTCTAGCATCTCTTCCTTGTTTTCCATGCCAAGATGTGAACAGAAGTGAACTATCATGTGCCAAAACAGATGCTAAAGGGATGACGCCTCTAAGCCGTTCAGCTCCTACCAACCTCTACCTCATTCACTCTGACCATGCTTATCAGGTGAATATTTAATTTGATTGCGTTTCATTTATTTTAGTTTACTATCCATACATTATATTATCTAGATTCAGTAGTAATAAAGTGGAATCGAGCTGTGATTGACTTGTGGTTACAATTAGGGTTTTGATTTGGTTTTGTTTTGTTTTGCATCCCACCCTCTTTTTCTCTTTCTTGCTGCAAAGTTCTTGGGAAATAGTTTAAAGTAGGTATCTGAAATTGCTGAATTATTTTTACATTATGATTGATAACACTAAACTAGGATTATACTATGTGTGTAGGTCATGTGCTATTCATTCTCAAACCCTTGTTTCAGAATAATAAGACTTCTGGTGTGGAAATTATAGAAGAATGTGTTACTCTTTCATGGAAAGGAAAAGAGGCGAAATGGAAGCACATAGTACCCCTCTGACAAAAATTGTTTCATTTATTTATTTATTTTCCACCTTTATTATTTTAATAAACAATGTGGCAAATATACCTAAATTTCCGTCCTCCTCTTATTTTCCCCACAACAACAACCTGTGAGGCAAGTTGGGCTAAGAGAGAATGATAAGCCCAGAGTTATCCAGCTGGTTTTCATGGCTAAGGCGGGACTAGAAGTCACAGTCTCTGGATTTCTAGCCAGGTGCCTTAACCACTAGGCCAAATGGGCATGCTTGTTACCTTTAAACTAGCAATCATGTTTTGATGCTAGTTTGAGTATCATATAAATTGGATTTGTTTATCACAGAACTCTCATACTCCATGGGTATTTGCAAATGTTAATTAGATAATTCATTCTTTGTAGCAACCTATATTCTAAAACACCTACCAGTACAAAAAGTAAATTGGAGTCAGCACCATATCTGATCATTTGTTGCATAAATTGAAATGGTGATCATTATAAAAAAATGGAATAAAATATTTTGTATAAAGGAAAACTATTCTTTATAAATGAACGGAAGCTACTTATAAAGTTTTTCAATATTTTTAATCAATATATATAATCTTATTTTATTTATTTATTTATATTTCCTATTTCTAAACAGCCCATCTTTTTCAGAGATTAAAAATAAACTCATTGAGCTGTGCAGTCATTTTTCATATCTTTCTCCCATTAATTCAAATCTGCATTTGAATTGCACTTACTAAAAAAAGATTTTTTTTCTTAATAAAATGGTTAATGGATGGGAAAAGTGGATTGAATCTCCATTCACCACATACGTAGTATATGATATCATAATAGCAAAAACATATAAGGAGAAAATGAGAAGAATATGTCCATAGAAAATAACAAAAGCTATTGCTTTTTTAATGTATTTTTGACTGGTGGGTCAGGAAGATGGCCTTTGCTACCATTACCCCCACCCTCTGATCTATCTTCCCTCCCTATATTGGGGGGAAATATAGGTCAGACCCTCATTTTCCTGGCCTTTCAAAGAAGATAAAAGATTTGGCTCTTCAATTCACATGAGGCTCTCAGATACCTTGATGGCCCTCTTGCTGCCTTTTAACATTTAATTTATTCTAATCCTGTTTTTATCTGTCTCTTTTTATTGATGTAAGGTGTTTTTAATTTGGTTTTAGGCTTTCTTGTTTTCATTGTACACCATTGAGACTCACTCTGTGAGCAAGATGGGCAGTATTTAAAATTTGATAAATTTAGTAGTAATAAAGTAAGTAAGTAAGATAGATTTGAACTTGGCATGCTACCATTTGGAATGGGCTTTTAGAAGTATCTAGTATCGCCACTAAAAACTTTTTTGAGTTTGTAAAGACACCCAGAGCAGGCATACATCAAATTGCATGATTCTCATGCAGTCTCTCACATAGGAAAAGACTGAATGCAGCAAATGAAATTTCTTCATATCTCTCTACAACTATTATTATTAATGTTGTTTATTGAAGAAAATTTTTACAGAGCACAAAAAAATACAAATACGAAAAGCAAAAATTAGAAATAAGTAAGAAATAAAGAAGGAAAAACAAAAAAAAATCTGTCTGCAAAAAAGAATCTGCAAACTTCGATAACTTTAAGGTAGAAAAGACATAAGAGAGTGTGGAGTCCTTGGTGCATTTTGAACTTGGTTGTTTGCTTGAAGATGTTGACCTAACGAGGTAACATCATCTAAACATTAGTAACATCATCAATGGACACTGATGATGTTACCCAGTCAGGTCATGAAATGTCTGCAAGCAAACAACTAAGGTCAGAGAGCTCCACAGTTCAACTCTGAACTATTTATCTATAAATATCTATGAGTTCTGTTTCTTCAGCAATTGCAGTTCAATCCTGCAACTAGCTCCTGGCTGCCAAGTCTATTTTTTCTTTCTCTTCATCTCCACTTTTGTTTTGCAGTTGCTGCAAAACTCCTTAAAGGGCTAATTTCTTTTGATAGTCAATGTTACATTTAATACCATGAAAGCCGTATATGCTTTCTTTAGCCTGTTATTGTTCTTTTAATCATTATCTAATATTTCACCCTGAAACTGGCAAATATTTTTCCTCCAACTGTGTTATAATTTCCCTAAAGCTATCTTCTTTGGTGGGATAATTCCAGATTAGTTGCTTTGTGATTTCTCCATTGTTTCCAGCAGTAGACTTTTGCTGTTTGGGAATGTTACAAAAGATGCTATAGTTCAAAATATCTGAAAGAAGTCACATTGGGGAAATGAAAAGTTGCCCTAAAATGCTTAAGTTTAAGAAAGTTTAAGAGCTAAACTTTCAAATATTTTTTAGATCTGCCTATATTATTAATTCTTTATCTTTCATTTCTTTTGGTGACTGCTGTAGACATCTTTCTTTCAGTGGTATCATGTATTATTCACCCTATTGTCTTCAAGAGAACTGAAAAATAGAATCAAAATGAGACCAACTTACTATTTTTCATAGGAAAGAATCAGACACTTAATTTGGCAACATGGAGGCGTTCCTTCTTAACTGACTTCCTATTTTTTGAAACAGGCTACAGCTCCTGTGAACATTCCAGGGTCAGCCAAGTTCACTCCCAATGGAAAAAGCTTTAGCATCTCTTGGCAGACACCCCCAGTTACCTTCACTGGCCTTCCAGTAAGTAGAAAATCAGCAAAGTAGGGGGAGGTTTGTTTACTACATAGGATGGCATGTGTGAGGCAAGTTCCATACTTGCACTTTATGCAGGTAATGGATTTCTTTCTCCCTTGCCTGTCCCATTCCACCCATGGGTGCATTGCAGCAGGTCTGCACACTATACAGTTCATGGCTGCATGTGGCCCACCAGGGGCCTTGTGCAGCCCATTGGCATTTTTAAAAAAAATAATAAATCACCACACCATCTCCAAAAATATACTGTGAGTGCCCCAAGCCTCTCTGCAACCAGCACCTCCACAATACTGCTGCTTCTCTAGCCTCCAAACTCCTGACTGGTGTGCTAGGCATTCCTTTGTAGTCTGCAGTGATCTTTGATGTATCAATGGGATCCTTTCCTCTTTACTCTTGTGTAGACCTGCATCACAGATTTCAATAGAGGCAATTCAAGCATATTTTAAACAAAATAGCAATAGCACTTAGACTTATTTTCCGTTTTACAGTGTTTTACAGCCCTCTCTAAGTGGTTTACAGAGTCAGCATATTGTCCTTAACAATCTGGGTCCTGATTTTACTGACCTCGGAAGTATGAGTCAACCTTGAGCCAGTCAGAATTGAACTGCTGGCAGTCGGCAGAATTAGCCTGCAATACTGCATTCTAACATTGCGGACCACAGCTCCCATTTCAAATGAATATGCTGAATATTTCACCTGCGAATCAGCTAGATGCTTGTTAATATGCAGTGTCAAAAGGGCTTTTGACAACGCTGAATTCTATAGAAATAAGAGCACATTTTGGCCAAAATTAATTATGGATATTCTCCAATTCCCTTGGGTTGCAGTGATACTGCATGACAGTTTTTCTCCTTTCCTTAACTTCCCTCACAGGGATGTTTTCCTTATTATAATCTGTTATGATGTCATAATACTGTTGAGTTGCTTATACCATCTTCCATATGCATAACATATCTTTAATTTCACCCGATATAATTAACTACTGTAAGTCCACAATATTTCATTTTTTATTCAAATATTTTTTCTAACTTTTGAATTATCATTACCAGAGTAGACATCGTGTTTTGTGTCTTAGCATTTTACCTAAGGCTACATGTTCCAAATTTTCACAAATATGCAAGGCTGTTTAAAAACTCTGGTTTTTGACAGGGTGAATTAGAAATTGATAAGGTACTGCCAGCTATTTCTCATTTCACAACGTGAATCACAAAAGCCTCTTATTGTCAACCTTTAGAATTTCTTGGAGGCTTTCTGTAGAATCTGGGCTCTCCTGCTGAGCTGATAAAAATGAAAGTAACTGAATCAATTACATTGCATTCTGCCAATGAATATTTATTAAATTTCATCAAGAAACAGCTAGCAGTGCAAGGCATCCTGCTGGTTGTAATTTGAACAAGAGACTCTTCACAGAACATGCTGTGCATGAAATACCCCAAAATTTGATTTCATGACAATATGGTAGAACTGGAGTAATTTTAAAAGGAGGGTTATACTCTCTATGGCAGTGGGATAAATTGCAAGAAAGCCAAAAGTCTCATTATCACAAAATAGATAAATTAGTTTTCCTAAACTTGTGCTATCTGGATATGTTGATACTACAACTCCCATTATTCTCAGTCAACATGGCCAACCAATATGCTGCCTATAGCTTCTGGGAATTATAATTCCAATATGGGCTATAGGTAATTTATAGGTATTAAGAATTCAGTACCACTGAATTTTTCACAAAGATTCATTATCCCCACACAGCTGTTATATATCGTAAGATAATTATTTGGTTATAATCTCTTCCTCCTAGTTCAGTTCTGACCTCTGGCCTCCAAGGCTACCTTCAAAATCACACAGAGCTATATAATTTGAAAAGTTCATTGCAAGCTTCAACAAAGCAAGCCAACTCCACTGACTGCGCCTCTGAATCCAGATTACAAGGAGCTATTAGAAATGTCACTGTTTTAGAATATTTTTCAGTTTCACTGCTGTTTTCTCGACAAATTTATGTATAAGCAGTTCAGAAGCTAACGAATAGTGAGAACAAAACTCTATTATTAGCTTCATTTCAAAGAGCCCTTTCGCTGATTTTGCCAGTAGCAGCTGTTGACCTTTTTTTCTATACAATTTTATATAATATGTTCTAAAATTAGTTATTCTGATGTGCCATCATTCACTGCATAAACTAATGAGGTGGCAGGAACATGTAAAATATTGATGAGCCTGTTGAAGCTCTTCCCTAAGCAAGCTCATTGCTGTCTATCACTTCAGTAGCAGCAGCACTTCTTGTATTATATTGCATATTTTGCCCTTCTTACTCCACAAATGAGAATATGTTAAGTAGAAACAAGTGCCAGAAATGCAAGTACAAGATCAGATATCCACTTAGATATCCATGCCAAAACATAAAAGGAAGCAGAGGGTTAAATGAGAGGACATAATCACATAAAATTTTGAAAACCAGGAAGATTTTCCAGGAGGGGGGTTCTTTATTACTTTATTTGTTTAATGTTATGAGCTCTACATATTCACATGTGAGCCCATTCTTAATAATTACAATTATTCTTCAAATTAAGCCAGATCAACATACCTGAAGCTTCATGAGATTTCGTGGGACAACTTGGAGGATTATAGCCATTTCTGGGGGTTTTTCGTACAAAATGAAATGTGGAAAATTATGTAAAGGGACCTGGGACTTTGTCTGTCAATCAGCAAGATAATGCTGTGACTTTCTCCAATCTAGGCCCCGCCTATCTCCTGGTCACATGACCCCAAAAAGTGCTTTATGCATTCATCCTTTCCCAGTGCACATATGCGTAGTCACATAGATGCAACAAGAAAGAACCCAAAAAATATGAACACAGGCAAAATGCACCACTCTGATTAGATCCTCATACATAATATAAATGTCTGCACCATAACTAGCTTGGGATGAAAGTACGTACACATGCATAATATGCAACATTCTGTTTCATTGCCTATAATATCCTTGAAAGAGGAGCCTAACTGACATATCACCAGATACCTCTAGAAAGGTTGCAAATGTTGTTTAGGTGTTTATAGCTATTTAAAATTTTGATAACTTGATAACTTTTGATAACTTTATTGATTTGGCTCATATGCATATTTTATTGCTTGCTGATTATTTTACTATGATTTCCCCCCTTTTCCTTATGGTCTATTTACTTTGATCTTTGTATAGAAGAAAATACAGATATTTCCCATATCCATTGCTAGTGAAAAGGTTGGAAAGAATTCCAGAAGCTATGGTCTACATGGTCCCTACCTTAATTTTAAATTGAAATTGGGGAAGGAATCTATTCCAAGCAGAATCCTTAAGAGGGAAAATAAAGCCAATTTGAGTACTAAGTTGTTATTTACTGGTACAGAATATAACATTTTCTTTCTTGGATGCTTTTGAAAATGGTCCATAAGTAAACGTTTGCAAGCCTAGGCAGGGAATAGTGTGATATATTTAATTCAATCATGTATTCTGGCAAATTTCCTTGGTTCATTTAACCCAGAGGTCTCCAAACTTGGCAACTTTAAGACTTGTGGACTTCAACTCCCAGAATTCGTCAGGCAGCTATGCTGGCTGAGGAATTCTGGGAGTTGAAGTCCACAAGTCTTAAAGTTGCCAGGTTTGAGGACCCCTGATTTAACCCTTTCTTGTGATTGAAACCTTTCCCTGATATCTGCAGCAGATGATCAGCAAGAATGCCAATCATATTGTATGCTTAGATGCTCCGATTCATTTTTCCTTCATATCTCAGCCTTGCATTATTGAGAAGGGAGCCTTGTAATAAGTCCTCCGCTCCATTGTGAGAAAGTCCATGAAATTAAGGTGATGAATCCACAGATTAAAACTCAATACAAGATAATTTAGTTTTATTCTCCATATTGTATCTTTTAATTCTGCAATTAGAACTCCATCTTTGTTTCTCTTGCTAGGTTTCACCAACTCACGCACGGCATGTGGGGATCGGAGAACCAAAGCACCAGATCCATGCTGTTCTTTCATCTCCACCTAGAGCCTCAGTTGGCCTCAGGTAGGTGGCTCTTTACTTTGGAATGAAGTGAATTCATTGATGAGTGGAGGGTTTCTGTGGCCAACCTGTTTTTAATCTGGATTTCTTTATAAAATAAATGCAGATACATTATTTTTAACAATGCAATTTATCCTCAAGTGGCAATTAGATTTTTTTCAGTTCATCACAAAATAAACCACATTCATTCTCTTTTAAAATTAAAGAAGAAAAATTAGTAAGGCCTCACTAGGAAATAGAGATAGAAAGAGAAAGATATGGCAGAAAAGAATGTTTTATTTGTAAAAATATTAGTAAACTTTATAGAAATATTATTCTAAAGATGTAACAGGTTTATAGTACTCCATCTTCTTACTACATATTTTATTTACCTAGCAGAAAACTATAATTTTCCTTGACAGTGCCCTCACAATTTTTCATACCTTGAAGGATGTTTTCATTATGTCCTCTTGCATATTTTTCCTATGTATTTTTCATTCAGTTAATGGTGCGGTGGCCTAGAGGTGGATTTCTCACCTCACAATCAGGAGGCTGTGAGTTCGATCCTAGGTAAAGGCAGGTATGTCTCTTTTGGGGCACATTGAGAATATATCTGCTGAATACAACTCCGCATTGGAGACAGGAAGGGCATTCGGCCAGTAAACACTCAGCTCCATTCAGTTTCCCCGACTCCACCCCACAAGGGATTATGAGGTCATTAAAAGAAGATGATGATTTTTCATTCAATATTTGTAATCTTTGGTCTCCAGAATAATCCAAAGAATACAAGAAACTCCACAGTTCAACCCTGAACTATGTACTTCATTTCCTATTGGAATTCTAATTTTATTATACCATAAAAAATCTATGCCAATGAAACCTCAAGTTATGATTTTCTAACATTCTTTTATTTCTCAGCAAGATTTATTCTTTTATAAAAAAAACAAATAACAGCCTGAAAATTATAGTTTAAAACAGGATAATCGCAGCCCTCCTTTGTCTTTGTGTCTTGCAGAATTTTATATTTAACCATTGGTTCCTTACTCTGCCATACAAATGGCTTTTATATATTTTTGCCTTTGTTTAAAAGGTGCATCATTTTTCACAACTGATATTATTTGAAATAAAACATCATCATAGGTAATATAGTCATTTTTATCACAGAAAATCTTCCAAACAGTGGAAGTTGCAACTTTTCCCATAATAATATAAGCAGAATTTTATTGGTTGCAGTATATCTGGATGTTTTACCTTTTATTCATATCTGAAAACTAGTTTTTCCAAGCAGTTCTTTTTTATCTTTCTCATATTTTTTGTTAAAATTTTAGTCTTTATTCATTTTAAATTCATCTACCATGCCAGCTTTTCCATTAATATATCTGTTCCTTCCAAGGAATTTTCAACTATTAAAACCAAATGATCTTCAGATGGCCTTAATTTATATACTTCTTTCATCTTTGTGCTGGTTATTCTCTCATTTTGTTTTCTATCTCTATTAAGAACTTCCAAAGCCAAAATAAGCACCAATGGTACCAGTAATTTTCTCTTGTCCCTTTTTGAATTTCACAGGGATTAATGAAATCACCATTAACTACAATTTGTGCTGTTTATAATGTATATACTATATCAGTTTTATTGATTTAATAAAATTAACCTTCTAAATCCATTTTTCCAACATTTTAAATTAAAAAAACCAAGTTCAAATTGTTAATTGTTTTCTCTGCATCAAGAAATGTCAATGTGGCTGATTTTAATTATGTTGTTCCAAATATTCTAGTACATTATTTTAAGAATATTTCTTATATTATCTTTCAGCTGTCTTTTAAGCAGAAATTCACATTAATCATGCATGAAGTCCTACAAAACATCTTTCTTTTTTTTTTCCAGCTAGAAACATTGCAAACATTTTGTAGTCATTCTTTAGCAAAAAAAAAAAAAAGAACAATATTTTATTTTTGATGAAGTAGGAACCTGCCCCTTTTTAAAGCAGTATTTGTCCTATCCAACTTTCCAATATCGATCCCTTTTCCAAAATAGAATTCATCATTTTTTGCAAAGATTGTAATCAGTTCAGTGTTTCTTTTTTATAAAATGCAGGTAATCCATCTGGTGCTGGTGCTTTACCTTTTTTGTTCTTTTTTAATTGCTTCTCTTACTAGTAAAAGTCAATTTATTATCTCCTTACACTGTTCACATTTACAACAGGAGTGAAGAACTTACTTTTAAGCTTGCCTTTTCTAGTTGCTGATAATTTTTTTAAATTAAATATTGTTTGAGCTGCTGTTTTACCTCTTTTTATATGTTTATGTGTGTGTGTATACATGTACAATCTTCAACCTCATTAACCGTACCTTAATAACAGTTTTTCTTTCAACTTTCTGGCAGAAAACCTAGAGGAGAGGGCAAGAAATGTCGCAAAGTGTATGGGATGGAGAATAGAGACATGTGGTGTACAGCTTGTCGTTGGAAAAAGGCCTGCCAAAGGTTTATTGATTGAAGCGCAGAACCAATACGGAGTTGTGTATAATAAGGTTCCCTTGCTGCAACTGTGCAGTGCGACTCTTCCCACCTCCTTGAGCGCTGACGTCTGTTGAAGACTGTCACTCTAAAGCAAATACATTCATTTCAAGGGGAACGACTTCTCAAAAACCTATATGCAGCAATATAGGAAAAACTTAACAAAATATTTACCAAGTCTTGAATCAGGAGCAGCTATATGCATCTTTCTTTAAAAAAACAGGAACAAAATCTGTTTTTAATACCTTGAACAACTTGCCTGTCAGGACATATTACATCATGATCAGTATTTCACCTTTGGAATCACTTAAAGACAAGATTGAGTGATGCTACTTTCCTTAGAATGAAGTAAATGAAACACAAATACATACGTGCATACACAGACACACTAAACTTTAGAAATAAGCTACATTTTTCTCAAGAGCAGCTCTCCCAAAAGTGGTAAATAATTCTATGGTGAATAGTCTTGATTCAGCGTCTGGTGCTTGTCCTTTAAGGGATAATGGAAAGATGCTTTGCTAAAGGGGCAAGAAATTTAAGAGTGATCTCAAACTCAGACCTGAAGGCTGAGCACCTCTTATATCTGTCCCAAAGAAGGCTAGTTGGGGTACAATCACCAGCAGTCCTAAGCAAAACAACAACAAAACCCCACACATGGGAAAGGAATCTGATTTTAAATGAACGTGGATTGAAACCAGCATACATACCAACAATGTTTGGGTTCCAGGATAACTTAGAAGCAAGTACTGGAAAATGTTGTACATCTCACAGTGCTAAAGGCTCTGCTCAGACTAATGGGCAGCCCAGTGGACTTCATCAACATTAATTCAGGGATGTGATCAACCCAGCAGCTTTCCCCCTGCTTTTTATGCCATTCCTAGGTTAACAGTTTAGTTGAAAGAGCAAATTATCACATCAGGGGATAGAAACTAGAAGGACAAACTAGTTTCCCACTTCCCGACATGTAAAATACAAGTGCAGCAAAGCAGATGTCTGTATGTAAAAAATCCCATTGGTTATAAAGTTCTTTCAATATCAGAAATAAAAGCCTTCACACTGGCTTGCACTTTCATAGGTTTTTGTGCTTTAGTGTAATTTAATCTTCATTTGGCCTATGAGATAGACTGTTGTAGCTGTGGTGTAATTGAACTAATGCTTGAGAATCAGTAGAAAGTTTGGACATAGGTTGCTGGAAATAATGTCTATGGATTGCCTATTAAAATAAAGGAATTCCTATAAGAGCACTACCACATATTAATATAAGTACGGCTTGTGCTCAAGACCTTCCTGGTGGATTTTGTCCTTTGATATTAACTCCAGTGGGATGAGATAGGTATCCCAAGTTGGGAAAACAAGAGCAAGAATGGGAGCCCTTGATACTGTTGTATGATGACAAGTCAGAAATAAATTTTATTGGGGAAGGGGTGGGGTAGACGAACCGCCGATGGAGTATATTATAAATCACTATTATCTAGAGTATCTGTCTATAATAAATATAAAAAAGCACAAATTTTAATTAAAACAGAATATTGAGCTAAAGATGACTCTTATGTAAACTTTAGAACGATTTAAGTTAGCTTTAATGCTATGATAATATTAAAACAATTCAGGTAGGCCTGGAACTGTCTTCCAAAATAAGGCTATCTGGTTGAAAACACTTCTACCGTACTGATAAGAAGCTTCTTGTACTAAGCATTTTCATCAGATACTCATCCAGTTTTCTTATTCTTCAAAAAGCGCAATTTTGAAGCGTGTTATTCCACTCATAACTAGAGAATAGGAAATTTCTTTCTTGAGATTTGGTAGGAAAATAAGAAAAAGGAATGAAATCAATACTTTTTTCCCCTTTAAAGTTTGGTCTTTAACTGTCCAGCTTTCAGTATTTGGCAAAAGTAAGATTTAGGAAAATCTGAGGTTTCATGTGCTTGCCTATTTATTTAACAAAAAAATGTATTTGTCAGGGATTTCTTCAGATCATAATATTTACAGGTGGCTGACAACTAACTTTGAAAGAGTATATCATATAATAATCATGTCTGTATTCTAACTTGAATGTGTTATTTTGCAGTCCTATAATTGTATTGAAATATATCTCTGGTTGCATGCATGGTCTGTCCAAAATTCACCAGTAAATTGTGCTGATCTGCTGCTTCATGGCCAATATACATCCTGGAGGAAATACCAAGTATGGCTTTATGTATTTTTTTCCTAATTTCACATACAAAAAAGTAATAGATTTTATATTTTCTGGCATTCCTGTTTAAAGGTTTCTAAATGATAAGGGCTACAGACAGGGAGGGGACTGCTTGAAAGCACAGAAGATTTCCACTGTAGTCAAAATTAGGCAAAGCAGACTAATGGTTTAAGCTAACCAAATACAGCTTAATAAAATTGATATAGAAAAAACAAACTCAAAATCACCTGGAACACTACAGTGCTATAACGAATTACTAAACTTTTCATACGTTGAAAGTATGCGTGCATTTACTTTAATAAAAGTTCAGTCTGGAATGCATTGATTTGATTTTCTTTCATTTGGCTTTCTTTGCATCATCCTATTTTGTTCCATTAGTTTGGTATTTCTTTTCACAGGATGTATGCCATACAATTTTTTAAAAAATTATAACTTATTTGAATCAGCTGTTGGTTTAAATTGTGATCACATGCCCTGGAGATACCAAGACAGAAGTGGAAAAAATTATTCTAAGATGTGTGGGTTGGTCATTCTTGGAAATAAGTGATTTATTGCATATGTTTTCAAATTTAGATAGAGATTATAATATATGTCAAATAATATTGGTAAATTTATTATTCCTACTTTATGTTATGTTCTCAAATGTTCAAAGCAGAAGTAAATACATGTTATTATAATCAGACTCCACATTCACAGGAATTTTAAACTTGATCATTCAGTATTTTATTGCACATTTTTCTAATTAACTCTGCATTCTTGAGGGCTAGAAATTTTTAAAGATTGAAAAATAATCATAGAATAATAACTATTTGCCAAATATTGTTAATCTCTGTGCAATATAGCCTTTGTAAGTTCGTTTGTTGTTTATTCCTATCCTATCCTCAATTTTTGGTTCTGTAGACTTTCATTGAGTATATTCAACTTTGACAGTGAAAGGTTTTTATCTTTATAGAGATATTTGAACAACTTTTTCCCATAGTTAGATTAAAGCCAACTGAACTAAGATAGGATTTGCTTGCTTATACTTTAAATGAAATTACTGCCAGATAATTCTGTTGGAACTGTACTATAAAGAGACAAACATAATTTGGCAATAGAACTGCTGGGATTTGCCTTGTTCTCCTTAGTAAGTGTTCTTCCTAACATTGATTGCAACATAATAAATTCTTTTTATTGCTGGAGAATTTCAATAGGGCTTTAAACTTACCAAAAGACCCAGGAAATAGGTGTTAACCAGAACTGTAGATTAGAATTAGAGACATGGTAAGCAAGGGGGTTGCAGTTAGCATTTCATAAGAGGTTTTTTTTTCAAATATTACTGCTTACTTAAATATTATTTCATAATTATTTATAAGATATCACTGAGGTTTTGAGAAATCCAAAATGTTTTCCCAACTTTCCCTGATATTTTTCTTATATATTTTAAAGCTCTATCAGAGGTAATATTCTGAGATCATTATTAGCCTGATTTTAATAAATGATGTTGTATAGCAGCTTCAGAGTGAGGGCAGAAAATATTATCTTTGACTGCTTGTTAGAAAAAGAGTTAATAAATTCCCAACCTTTGTTCAGGGCTAATTTGAAAAGGTCTCGCCATGCCTATTTTGACATTTCCAACATTTAACATGAATACTGTTGCCAAACCTCATATGTCCAATCCAAGACTCCTTTCTTGTGTATCAAAATAATTTTGAACAGATATTACTACATAATTTTTATGTATAAATAATTATCGTGTTAGAATCAAACATGAAAAGCTGGCAATTTTTTTTCTTTTATTCAGGTTTGTGTGTTCAGATAAACCTGTTTAGATTGTGCCCAGTGTCATCAGATTATCATCTATTTGCATCATTATTTTAATTGACCTCTCAATCAAAGGAATATACTATATACAATATGTTTGCACAGCTCCCTCTAGCTTTTGATGATTTATTTTTCTGAATTTCAAATTTTGTTTCCCCCGATTCAAGATTTAGCTAAAATAAATCTCAATCATCTTTGCCTCTATAAATTCACTTAAGATGAAAGACTAAGAATTTTTGTCAGCATGTTTAACTCTTATAAAAACCAATAACAATGAGAAACATAAAGGTATATTTTGTGGTAATCAAAGGAATGAGGACATTTCTGACATTTCAAAACTTCATTTTCTTTATTTGTTAAAAAAAATCTACAATGTGGATTTTTTTGGAATGATTTAAATATTGTACAGTCTGATTTTGTTTCCAATGGGGCAGATGGTTCTGGAAGAATAAACAAGCATCCCATTATAGTTACCGCTGCCTTCAGTGTGTCTCAAGCAATGTAGGAAGACATCTGTTTACACAAGAGTTTAAATCCTGACTGTTAGGGAAATGGAAATAAGTTATATTAATTATATGCAGTTTACTGGTGGACAAATACCATTGGGTTTCACCTTCTATTTCCTCTAAGAGGAAAAATGTAGAAAATAGTGATACAGATTTACTAAACGGATTGGTAAACAGAGTTTGTATTTTTTGACCAAAGTTATTCAGTAAAATTAAAGAGAAATGCTCACTTGAGTTTGGTTAAATTGGATTTTAGCTGTATCATAATCTTACATATTTGGAAATATTAGAGGAATTTGTAGCCAGTGTAAGAACTGAAATTCATTAGGACATAATCTAATAATCTGAATATTTATTAGCATAAAATAATGGGAATTAAATTTTAGAAACACCTTTCTGTTTTGAAGTACAATGACATTTTATTTCACTATCTCTGACAGAATTACTGCCCAATAAATTGTTTTTCAAATTAATGCTACTTATATATTAAAATATTTGGACCTAACTAGGTTTATCAATTATATCCTTTGACCACATTCATACCTAGAATTAAAATGTTCTGAGGCTTCTTTGAGGTTTAATATGATGCATCCAATATGGCAAAGTGTTGTATGAGAAATAGGCCTCTGTGACTTACTCAAACTGTGGTTTTAAAACTCCTGGATTAATATAGGCAGATAAATGTGGGATGCTCAGATATCTTTGACTGTCCTCCTCAGAGTTCAGTCAGTCCTGGCCATATTAGGATTTTTCTGATCCTTCAGCTCTATTATGGTAACAGATTTTGGGACATTAGGGAAAAAAAGGAAGTGGGGTGAGATTGCAGCCTGTATAATCTTCATTGGTGTTTCTTATCCTGAAAAATAAGCATTGTAATTGTATTTTCTATGTGTTTTCTTTGAGTTAATGGAATAACTACATTCGTGCTCATAATTATTATTGAGATCACAAAATATAGAATTAAAAACACAATTGGAATCAAATGCAGCTACACAATCATACATGAACAAACTTTTCTGAACTTAAAAGATTCCAATTCTGAATTTGGGGATACTTTTTATAGCCAGTTTTTTTGTACACTTAAACCTCAAGGCCACTGTATTTTATATGGCTGTTTTTCCTGAGCAAAACTCAGATCTCCTTTTGTGAGCTGCTTTCAGCAAATGAATATTGAAGTCTTTCCAGAGGTCGAAAAAGGAAGATGTTTCTGTATTCATGTAGTCTTCAACTTATGACCACAATTGGAACCATAATTCCATTGTTAAGCAGGGTGGGTTTATGTGAGTTGTGCCTGATTTTATGACCTTTTTTTCCCCAGTTAACGAATCACTGCAGTTGTTAAGTGAATCATGTGGTTATTAAGTGAATCCAATTTTCCCTGCCAATTTGGTTTCTTGGAAACTGGCTGGAAAGGTTGCAAAAGCAGCAACCCCCTGATCCCAGGATGTGCAACTATAGTAAAAACATGCTGGTTACCAATCACCTGTATTTTCATCCCATGATCATGGAGATGCTGCAACAAGTGTGAGTATGAGGATTGGTTGTAAATCACGTTTATTCAGTGCTGTTGTGACTTCAAACAGTCACTAAGCAAATGACTGTAAGTCAAGGACTACCTGAATTCCAAAAGGATCCTGGAGTATCCGGGTGTGCATATCAATGATGACCATCAAGCTGACGAAATGGCAGGTGTTTTTTTTTTTACTTTTGTTCCTCTTTTCATGCTGTGTGCAGTCTGCAACCTGCCACTTACATTTAGCGGGTGCTTTAGTATTGTTAGATTGCAGACTTACCTTCCAAAAACCAAATTTTATTGACAGACAAATTAAGGGATTATGGATTTATGAGGGAAGAAATAACTTCTTATCTACTAGGCTCTGATTCAGCCAAACACTTCCTTGTGTTTATCTTTAATTGGGTCTTCTTGGTTAACAATGAGTTCAACCAATTACACTGTAAGAGTATTAGAATGTGCAAATTGCACTTCTGATCTTTCTGGATTATATTGCATGACAATCTGGGTTGTTTTAGATATCACACCATGCCCTCTAGACACAAAATACTATTTTTCTCCCTCAGTTAAAATAAAAAAAGTAATTTAGACAAACCAAGAGTAATACTTTGAGTTGACTTTTTAAATAAAATATTTAAACTTAGTCTAATTGATTAGATATTTTAATTGCTTTAATTTATGACTGTTGAAGATTTTAATATTTAAAATATGCAGTAGTTTAGTCAAAAGGAAAAAGAACTGCCTTATTAAATAGTGCAATATTGGTTTTTACTCAAAAAAGGGCTAACTTTTTGAAATTAAATTTAAGCTACTGTGAAGAATATTAATTCAGTGTGTATTAGAAAGTCTATATAGACTTGAACGTTTATGATTTTAAATCAGTGTAATAAGCTTTCCAAAATATAGTCTTTCCTAAAAGATGTGACTAACTTTTGAATATAAATGCAATTTGCAAACCTTTTTTTAAGACAGAGTTTTACTTTCAAATTTTGATTTCCAGCAAATTTTTCTTGCATTTGCATATGACACAAAAGCTAGAAACTCTATTATTGTTAAAATAGCAGATATTCTTATACTATTTGTTAAAAATTGCTTTTGGTCCAATACTGCTGTTTAGGCAATGTGAAATTAGTTTAAACTTTCCTTAATTTTTTTCTAAATGTACATCATAAAATGAATTTTATACCTAGAAAATCATTGTTAGAGTTTAATCAGCACTGTGAATTAATCTCAATTTGGGAATTTACTTCTGGATTTTTCTCCATTTTTCTGAAGAAAGAAACAACAAACAGTCTTTGTCTACAAAATATATAAATTAACTAAAGATTATAGGACTTTTAAGATTTTTTAAAAAAATTAACCATGGTTATTCTCTGGAAATCAAATACTCTTCATGATGGAGCAACTTCCATATCTCCAAACAGTTTGGTCAACGTTAGTTGCTTGTACCTATGATAGATACTTCTGTAAGTTATCAAATAACAAATTATTTCACTTCAATTTTGGATTCCCATTGTAAGCTATGATTATGCTTGCTTCTTTATAGCCCTTAAGCACTTTCAGTGTATATATTCATGAACTTTGACTGAGCTGTGAAATTAAAATGTCCTGTGGTGTGATGAAGATGGCAGATCTTTAAGTAGGCTACTAGTTTGGCAGTGATAAAACACAAAAGTTAGTGTTCCTGCAAGAAATTAAAAAATCCTATGAACTAGCAAAGCATAACTGTACACTGCACAGTGTTAATTTGCAGATGATAGTAAAAAGTGGCAAACTGCCCTCTCTTATGTCTTTTATTAAAAAGTATTGATGTTATTTTATGTTATAATTTAGTATATTATTATTATCTAAAATGTATTGAGTCATCACATTTCTTTCTTCTATTCCCTATCCTTTAAACCAAACATTATTCCATGATTTAATAAGATTTGTAGTTTATCTGTATGAGTACAGTAAACTGATGAATAATTGTAATGAAGGACAATATCAAAATGTTATTTCTTGAAATGGTTTCTTTGAGATATTTGTATCAGTTTATAAGAGATTGTGTCCTCAGATCAAGTTAGTTTCAATATTAGATGAGTCAATCTTGTGGAACTTAATAGACATAGATGATCATGTTATTAGCAGCTTCCATGGAATTTAGAAAGGGAAGAATGTGTTTTTATCCAATCAGCAATATTTTTTACTAAAACCATTACTAATAGGTCATCTTTGTTAATGTTTAATGTGTATCAGTTTGGAACTAGCATTAGCAAGAATTATTATTAGATCTTATTATATACATAAAACAAATCATGATATTTTGCATTAAGTTTCAGTAACGATATGTTTTTTCAGGCCAAAGATCAGTTATTCTAATAAAAGAGATAGGGTCAAAACAAATATGTCAGCAGGTCAAACTAAAAATTAAATTCTCCATGATTTTAATTTATAGTGAAGTTTAGTTTTATTTAATATTGATCAAATGAATAAATTGTTTAAATAAAAACATAATCATATATATTATATATTTAATAATTTTCCCTTCTATGTAGCATACTTCTGGAGGACTTCTCTAAACTACATCCCATTTCATAAATGTTTGTTTGTGAAGCCAGGAAGGACTATTGGATCATACTGGCTTCATTTCATTTCATTCTTGATTAGTTAATGGTCCTTATTATATACAAAATGAGCAACTTTGGGTGGATGGTTGTTATTCTTTGCTAGTGTTAAAACTCATCTCATGGGGTTATTGCTGTGGGAAAGATAGGAGGAGAAATATTAGGTATATTTGTTGCCTTGAGTTATTTATAAAAATAATTCACATTCACAACCCCTGATCTGAGTTCAGTTGCTTTTTTGCTTTTGAAAGACGTGGCAGATTCATAAACATGGACCAAGGTTGGACCAAGGTTGAACCCAGAGGTATCTGCAAAGTAATCAAAGGATTACAGGTGATGAAAGCTTTATGGCACTGTTGAAATTTAAGCTTGGCTCTTTCTGTACTTACAATTTGACATTCAATGCACATTTGAAAAAGGCAGGGCTTATGTTGCAAGAGTGCAATGCTGCTTTTGTCCATTTGTTGAAAATTTTGGATTCTGCAAATACATATAGTTGAGAATCTGACAAGATCAATGGACCATACAGATGGTGTTAAGTAGAATAGAAAAAACAATTCTATATATGGAAGACTAATTATATTCATATCTCTTCTTTATATTTCATGCATGGCTTGCTTTACTCGTTTTGCCAAAGTTTTGATAACTTTATGAAATCAGAACCTAATTTTTGACCTACTGTTGACAAATGTGCATTCTAATATAGAGGAGGTTTTTGTCAAAGTCAGATCTATCGGATATTTGTGATAATTCCTACTGAAACTGCTTTTTTATTTAAAACTGACAGTGTTAATGAATATTACAGAGGAACGTGGAGCATGTACAAAGAGGTCAAAAAATGGTGACAGTGCAAAACACTGCCCCTTTTTCATGGCACACATGTGACACACATGTAAAGGGTGAAGCATCGAAGAGTCATGCCTAAAAGACTCAGCAAAAATCCCACATAAATTGGTTTGAGGATTTTATATTAATTATTACATTCTTAAAACAGAAGCACTTAGGTTATTTCAACATGTTAGACTAAAAGGTTAAGTGTAGCCAATATGATTCAGTTAGTTTCTGCAGATATTTCAAAATGTAGTTCTACAAATACGTATTACATAGTAAGTGTTGGTTTTTGTGAATGAATGTATCTGCAACTGCACATCATATATTTTCATTTTTAACATGCTTGTTTTGCACCAGCTCTGCGTTTGTCTAAAAATCTATTTAAGGAGATACTTACCCAAAGTTAGCTTCCAAGCAGAAAAGGCCTAGGTGTGGCATTTTGTTTTAAGATAATATAACTAAGAATAATTAAATACATACCAGTCTAGGTGCAATTTGCTCTAAGTTCCACTGTTTGTGACAGGAAGAGTAACAAAACTTTTCCACTGCTATTTATCATTGCTGTTTCACCATAGCTAGCATAGTAGGCGGTTCTATATTTTATCCGTTCTTCCCACCAACTCTAATAGAATGCATTTAAATTTGGAAATTCCTAGGCAAGTATTGGACTACTTTTTGTGGATGTACTTGAGACTCTGGATGGGGAGGTATACAGCCATTTGCATTACCCCTGGTGTTCCCTAGACCCCTAGTCAGGAACTGCCAGGAGAAAATCTGAATTGGCAGCCCATTCCAGCCTAGCCTCACAGGACCCCTTAAAAGAGTATCTTGCAGAGATTAAGCGCTCTTTGGGCTGCTTAGCCTGCCTCCCAGGAGGCATGGGTTGGTTTCTTTACATATTTGCTGAAATCAATCCTCTAAAAACCAGGCACTCTATATCTTGGTTGGATTTTATCTAATATTTGTAATGAATTGTCAGCTGCTTAAGTGCATCCAGTTGCAATGGCTGTCAAATTGAAAGTGATTATGAAACTTCAACTCTCTGAGCCACTCCTTAAACTCAATCAAATTAAACTTTTCAAATGCCTCGAGCCAATTGTTTTGTAGTCAGTGCGTTGTATCTAGATAAGCATGAGAGTTGAAATGCAATCATTTGAAGAGTGGAGCCTGGAGATAATGATTTTCCTGATGTAATTATTTTTCAATTAAGCAACAATCCTACCATGCTGCTTTATTTTATATACAATTATCTAATATTTTGTTAACCTGATTTTGAGAAATACTTTTTAAGAAACCTAGGAACTGTCCAACACAGGAAGAATCATCTCATTCCACTATGGCTCTAATTCCACATCATAATTCATTTGTTTCTGATGGCTGAGAGGAATCTCATTGCACATTTGCTGTTGAAGGGCTGGGTGTTGAGATAGCATGCAGACATCACTATCACTAGAGGGCTCTTTCATAATATATTTTACCCCTGTGCCAGGGGAATGATTTCTAGGTAGGCCTTGGATTAGATTCAAGCCTACCTCGAAGGAAAGACTGGAAGTGATTAAGTAGTATTAAGTTTTTAAAAAAATCTATCTTGGGATAACAGCAGCCTACCTCCAGTACGACATGAGGACAGATGGCAACTACTCGGTATGAATGCTGCAAACTTGTGGTATGTTTCAAAGCTTGCAAGGCTGTGTCATATCTCTGGGGTTTCCCTTTCATTGGAATCAGTGGAACTCCATCCAAAGAATATAAGGAAAGTGAGTTATCTTTCAGGAGAGTTTCTTATCTGTTTAATATGGAAAAATTCACTTTATAAATATTTGAAAGAGAGCTTCCAACTTTGGCACTAATGGAAATACTGGATACTTTTCATATATATTTAGAAGGTTATTTGAAAAAGAAATGTTCTGTCTTTTTTATATAATTTTTAATCAAATACAGATATTCTGATTACTACGTCTTGGTTTCCTATCAGGCTGTACATGCAAAAATAAAACTAGTTCAGGTCTCAGAATCTTGAGTTAGGGGTGGGGGAACCAACCGTTTGAAGTGCTTTGCCAGCTTTTGGTATATTGTGCATTTTGTGTGTTTATATAATATATGTAAATTATAAATAGATATATAAATAGATTCATATGGTTAAATGTTTAGTGTTTTTTCACTGTTCTCCAAGGAAATAAAGTGTTTTGTATTGCTTTATGAACTGATTTAAATGGCTTTATGGGACGACTAAAATATTTTACAGCTATTTTATCCCAGAAATGGGTAGTTCTGCTCGGATGTAAATCTCACCATTGTTTTTGAAAGCAGAATTTTAGGTTTTAAGCTGGCCCTACTGAATAGTACCAGGTAAAAAGCACTTTCTTGTGGCATGCAGTCTATTTTCTCTGAATGAGCTTTCCAAACTAGAGACCACAACACGTTTACATTTGTGTGTGTGTGTGTCCTGTTTTCTTCCCTGCCTAACAAAGAGTTGCAGAACTTAAAATCTTTAATCTTTTGGGCAAAGAGGATGGAAAGAAAAATGATATGCTACTGATGTAATAGGACATAAGATCTATCATTAGGAATAGATTAGTCCATCTGTTAAAATCCATTGTAGTGATAGTCTCAGTAAGTGAGCTGTGCTTTGTAATTCTTGGCTGTGACAAATATGCCTTTGCTTTACTTGTCATAAAACTGTTTTACTGTTAATGGCTATTTCTTTGGTTGTATTTGCTTGAACTTAGTTGGAAGACCTTATTCAGACTGTTATGATGTCCATAAATGCAATTTAAATGCACTTAAAATTGATTTGTTACCATGGAGTGTACTGAATTCTTTCATTTAATAAAAGCCTTTGTGTAAGTGTTTTCATGTGTGATTTGTTTCTGTTAGCTTTTGCTCTTATTGTAGTGAAACAAAAATATAACAATGTTTTCGGAAGAGAAAATCAGTTATGTCTACTGTGCTGCATTAAGTAATCCAACACTGGAAATAACGGGAATAATTACTTATCAAAGTGTTTAAAATTCCAGCATTTTTTGAGGTAAAATCCTTTCATTATGAGATAGTTTAATATAGACACAAGACAGAGACATGTTTTCTATAGCTAAAGACAAAAACAGGGTGCTACCACTGAAGTCTTTCAACATTACTACCATGTTACCATTCATTTGCATTGTGCCAGGTCTGTAGTTGGAATTGCATTTATCAATAATCCAAATATTTAATCAGAAAGCAAGTTGCATGTGTCAGTGAAGGCATCGTTATTGTTTCAGTCATTTCAGATCCCAGTTTAAATTTCTAAAAGTCAGTTATTTAAATGTTGGGCAATGTTTATAACAGTGTGCCCTCCTATGGCGACAAGTATGGCTACAGTCTTTTAAAAGTCAAACTGCACAGGCTGTTTGGTGGTGGGTGAGTTAGACTCAAGATTGTGCTTTCTGACTTCAAAAGTTACACTTGGCTCTTGACAGGTTTGTCAGGAGCTGCTCTCCCCAAAAATACTACTTAAAAACAGGACAAAAGTGGTATGATTTTGTTTTCATCTTTAATCAATATTAAATACAATTAATGATCCACCTATGCTTTTTATTCTCGGAGACTGCCTGGATAAGTCCCTGGATTGGACATGACAGAATGGAAGAAAAAAATGTTTATCATTTTTCTCTGCTATAACATTAAATGCTACAATTTGCTAATAATTATTGAGAGTCACATGCATGCCTGGAATCTTTGAACAGACACAATATTCACATACACAAGTTCTTTAACCTGGAGTGGGATGATAGCAAATGATGGATAAGTTACATGGCATGTTAATCCAGATATGCATAAAAAGAATACACAACATTACTTTCCAATTCATTTTCCAACAAAAAAGGGAAGGAATTTTTACCAGTTGCTCAAATCAATATGTCTGTATATGTTTTACATTTCACATTTTAACTACCTTCAATGTATGTATAGGCCATCTAATGCCATTATGACTCTAGGCAGGTATAAGATAATTTAAAACAATGAAGTACAAAACAATGCAGAAAACAATTATCCAGTAAAAATAGTACAAGGCTAATAAACCCATCTTCTGTAAGAGGTGCACCATTCACTCCACCCAAAGCCTCGGGGAAGAGCTCTCAAAGAGTTCATTTGAATAAAGACAGGGTGGAGGATCATATAGATTTCAGGAGAGATATCATATCAAGATACAGGTACTGTAACACATTACTCCTTTTTCATGAGTCACAACAGATGTCACTGTTTAATCAAGGGACCCAGAACATTCTAACTTCATTGCATCATGAGATGAGTAGAAACTGCAAAAGACAGACGATCCTTTAGATAACTCGACCCAATGCTTGACCAAAGACAAACAAAGCACAGTAAAACATTATGCAAAAATTGAGATTATTTTGGTTCGGGGCATGACTGATGCTTTAGAAGGGTTAAGAGCCATCAAAGGGAGAGTTATAAGGGATAATGAATGAGGCTCTATCACATGAGCTGGTCTGGAATCCATGTTATCAAATCACGGCAATTGTTTAATCAAAATTCAACACCATGATCAGACGGAGCTCTAGTGTATGTGCACTAAAAATTATTTCGGTAACCACTATTTTGTTTACCATGTGTCCCTTCAATATAACCAGTAGAGGGATAAAACATTAAAACAAAGTCAGTGTTCAGTGCTATAGCAGATGCACTATGTACACAATCCCTGGGATTTAGAAATCTGGCTTGAACAGTCCTATCTGAATCCATGGATAACCATTGCCAATCAAAGTAAATAGGATTAAGCTAACGGAACAAGGAAGCTTTCTAGATGCCAACAAAATCCACCTAAAGCAAAAAATGGCAAACGTGGCCGCCTAGATACTGTTAAACCACAATTGTTGTCATTCCTTATCATTGGCCATAAATTGATGGAAGTTGGACCTCAGCACCATTTCTTCATTTCAAGCTTAATGAAAGCTTGACAAAGTAAGTTTTATTTATTCTTAACTTTTTAATGGGAGGGAAAAGAAAACAGATGTCTGTGTTGCTCTCTTGGTCTTTATGTTATACAGCTATGCTATAAGAATTATATAGCATTCTCAAAAAAAAAATCCTCTTGATGTATCCCTTTTGTGGGGTGAGTCAGTTGTGAATCACCATTTTTGCAGATGGAAAATGGAAACAGCAACTCTTGGTTCAGAGTGAAATAAAACAGGATAACATAGCAAGAAGATTCAAAATATAAAATTTAGAACACAGGAAATATCTTGATGGCCCTACATAAAGTCACATACAAAGTCTTTGTTGTACATCTTCGCAATTCAAGGTCCATAATTTGGGATGCATTGCACATTTGGGTTGCAAATCTCCAGACAATTACTAGAAGGCAGTCTAGAGACCAAAAGTTAAGTCCTGCCATCTGTGGTCATCTAACATTGTTGAATTCTTACTCTGTCAGCCTGATTGAGCAGCTTCTTATGTGGTATCTTTGGAGAGTTTTGTCTTGCCATTCTTTCCAGTATTATACTATTGTAGTGTATTCATATTAATAAGCACAAATAGTTGCTGGTTATTGGTTACCAGCCTGAGATATACACACATACAAATAATAATTAAATGCACACTTTGGAAACAAGAGCACGGATACATTTCATTTATCAGAAACATTGACTTGCAAGAAGGCAAAGTCAAATACTTTGGAGAGAAAGGATTGATTGCAAACATAGGTATTCTACATTTTTTAAAAATCTATTGAAAATTCTTTTTGAAGCTAAACCTGCATCTATAGAATGCATTGAATTTCAGACTACCTAACCATATTTTATGAACCCAATTCATGTGGTCAATTTATGGTTCATGACAAGATTGGATTAATTTAAGAAAGCAAAACCTCATACAATGGCATATAGCTGGCTTTGCTAAGCAGACGTCAGACCTCATTAATATTTGTGTAGGAGTCTACCAGAAAAATTTCAGGACTGTGGGCTGAACTAAGGCTTCCTCCATTAATAAAAAATATTGTGAAAAAACAGAATGGTGAACCACTTCTGTATCATTGCCAAAAAACCCAACACAGATATGTAGGCATCTGAAATAAAGCATGTATTTGTATTTTGCACTTTGTAAACTAATGAAAAACTATTTTGCATGAACACAGGCATATTCTCATTGTGGCTCAAATTTTACAAGGGTGGCAGATAGAAAGCTAAAGCTAACCCTGAACATGTGTTTCTCCAATCTTATGACACTTTCTGTCTGTTGACATTACAATTCTCAGAATTCCAAACACAATCAAATAATTCTGGTAACTGAAGCCTTTTCGGACCTGGAAGGGTTGATGGGTTAGGGAGGGGATTCCAAAATATTTTCAAAATAAGAAATGAGGACATGTAATATCAATGCTATTATGCTGTCTTTAGAAATATTCAGCCTCCAAATTTGTTGGACTTTCAGATCATTTTTGCATAATAGTGGTCGTTCACATGTTCAGTTGTTCGTGTTGGAGCACTGGCAGCATGATGTGGCATTGGGGAAGTCTTCTGTTTCACCATCATGGTTAGATCATTTTCTAAAGTCTCTGCAGTTCTCTGGCACTGCTCCACTGCCCTCCATTACAGGGAAGCATGTCCTATTACATTGGTCAACTCAGACAACGGATGGACACGGTTTGGTTCAAATGGAGCTTAGGGT